AGAAAGCCATGGCCACGTGTGTCAGCAGGGAAAATGGCCACGGATCCTGTTCGTCACCTGATGCAGAGTTCGCGAATGGAAGCAAAATGTTGTGAACGGTGCTGTTCGTGACCTGAATTGGTCGTGAACAGAAGCGTTCGTGACCCGAGGTACCACTGTATAGGGGCCACCTAGCTAATTTTAGCTAACTGCTGTAGTTACAGCCTGTCCTTAGCCCGCTCTGCTGATATGTTTGGCTCTCCCAACATTCCTTACGATGAATGATGTTGGTTGGAATCACCAGGAAGTGTTGTTCAGCAACCTCTGGAGGACCCAATATGCCAGCTGTATCTTAGCACAGGTTTTTCAAACAGAAGCAGCACATTTTGCCAATCAGGAATTAAATGGGGCTCATCAGGCAGCTGGCTCAGCAGCCAAAATTATGGCATCTTCTATTGCCTTGTGTTGCCATGCTGAGCTCTACTCCGTTAACCTGGCGCTGAAGGCTAAGTCTAGAATTGAGGACCTTCGCATCCCTTCTACAAAGAAACCCTCCCTTCCTTATATTTCATGGTAACAAAGTAATGCTTTGCTCAGATATGCCCTTTTCCAAGGCAATTTCAACCTTTCCCTTGAATGAAGCCATCTTACTGCCTACCTTTTTGTCCAACTGCTCATTAGCACTGGAAATACCACTTCAGTTTTGAATAGTGGTCATGCTTTTGCATTTGATTAGACCATGGTTTTAAATAGATTCACAACATGGTTTTACTGGGACCCCTGTTTAGTCCTGGATTTCCAAGACCAATCCACAGGTTGCAGTCTTCAGTGCCTCCAAATGTATAGTGGTAACCATCAAGTTTTGCTATGAGCTGGTCAAACCTCAACTTGCTCTAACTCCAAAAGTGTGATGGCAGAATCAGCAGCTTTCCTCTGGAATATCCCCTGCTGGAGTTGTGCCAGATAGTCACATGAGTTCAGCCCTCCACTTTCAATTAGCCCAACAGACTGCATCTCTACTCTCAGAGAAATGCAAACTTCAGAAGGACCATCCTCTCTTTGATCACTTTGACTGATTTGATTTTGATTTGACTTGATTTATATCCTGCCTCAAGGCAGCTTTCATGGGGATCTTCCTTCCTTTTATTCCCACAATAATAACCCAATGAGGTAGGATTGGTTAAAGGAGAGTGACTGTCCCAAAGTCACCCAATAACTTTTCATGGCTGAAGATGGACTTAAACTTGGGTAAGTTGGTCCTAATCCAACTCTTTAACCACTATAACCCACTGGCTCCGTAGGACAACCAAGTCTTCCTCCTGAAAAGAAGCTGGTGTTAATCAGAGACTATGATGAAGAATGGGTTACTCACATGTAACTGCAGTTTAGTGGTCATCAGTGAATTCTCACAACCTGCCTTCCTATCCAGTTTGGTCTCAGGTGACCTTGCTGTTCCTTTTGATTCATTATGTCCATTTTAGGAACTGATGGGGTTTGGTAGGAGACCGTATCTAGCGTGAGATATGCCTTGGGTGGGGAAGGGGAAGGGCTCCAACAATTCTGAAAGCTCCAGAAAATTCTAAACAGAGCTGTGCACAGGCTCATAATTCATGTGTGACCAGTTCATTTATTGCTTTACATCTGATTTGTAAACATTTCTGCCTTTTATTTACTTAGGTTTATATATCAGTCCATTTCTGAAGATTCTGTGCAGCTTACAATACACATCAAATAGTTAAAAACTCATAATAAACCCATTCCAACACAGTATTATCCCTTTTCACCACCAATTAAGACTACTATGATCTTACTTATCCCCAAATGAGTAAGATGTCTTCATGTTTTATTATTAGTTTATGTCTTTTATTTGATTGCTGTTTGTTGAATTCTGTGTAAGCTGCCACTGAAAATTCTATTGAAGGGCAATAACACCCCTCCCCGTACTATTAATTATAATGATAGCAAATAGAGCTATTTTATATACTTAACCTAGCTTTAAGATGAGCCATCATCATAAGTGTCAGGGGAAACAAGAGAGGGCAAATGATGAAAGGTCATGATGCAAGTATGAAAGGACAGAGTTTGCCTGTGAACCATCGTGATTTTGGCATCATCATGATTAGGAACAGACATGGCCAGTAGGCACAACTTGTGAATATTATAGAAATTTCTTTAGTGATATTGCTGCAGTTAAGGTGATAAGTCAATGTTTTAATAAAATGTTCTTTCTTCCTCTTTCTTTGCCATGGGCAGAACATTGCCATCATTTCCAGAGATTCATAGATGTTTATCTATGTATGCTTATGTGCTCATATTGGCCCAAGTAGGAGCCTAGATTTTTCTATTACTTTGGTATGATGGAAAACCCACCTTCAAAGACTAGATTAATCTTTAAGGAAAAATGGAAGAAGGTCTCATAAAGATAGGGTAATTCATAGTTTATCTGTCACTTTAGACAATTACTTGGGTTATCCTAAGTAGTCCAGCAGTATACTTTAATAAATAGAGACAGAGTGTCCCATGAGAATAGCAATACTTCATTCTATACATCATTCTATCCATCCATCCATCCATGACGCTCCCTGAGTGATTGCCAATTATTTTTGGATCTATTTATTTTCTATTTATTATTGTAATTTTGTAATTTTTATTGATTTTAATTGTTTTGTAAACCACCCAGGGTTGTTCAATGAGATGGGCGGTGACAAATTCAATAAATAAATAAATAAATAAATAAATAAATAAATAAATAAATAAATAAAT